TCCAAAGGAAATCATCAATAGAGAGAAAAGTAACCTACAGGACTGTGAAAATGTTTGCTAACTATTGCTCTGACAGAGGACTAATATCTAGATTTACAAAGACCTAAAAATTAGATGCCCTAATGTTATGGCTTATATATAGATGTCCCTTGAAGCCTCATCCACTTGTAGGTAGGACGTGGGAAGTACTTGTATTATGAGTGTGTGATATTAGATTATAGACATGTGATAATGGATTAGTCCACTGATTGTTTTAGCAATGGTCTAGGTGTGGCTGAATGAATTTACTGAAGATGGAAAGACCCATGCTGCATATGAGTTGCAAAAAATGATAGGCTTGTAGCCTTAATGGAATAAAAAATGGAAAGCAGAAGGATGGCTTCTGCCTCCTGCCTGACACATAAACTGTTTCTCCACTGTAATACCCCTGCACCATGGCACCCTTCCTTGGAGCCAGCCTACAAACTACAAACAACTACAAATTGTGAGGTAAAATGAATCTTTCCTTCTTTAATTTGCGGAGGTTGGAATTTTGTCCCAACAAGAAAGTAACTACAACAGATTTTGGTACCAGAATAGTGGGGTCATTACTGTGATACTACCTAGATATGTGGTTCTGAAGTCCTTGCAACTGGCTTGCAGCAAGAGTTTGGAAGGGTTTGGAGATGCCAAGTGTTGAAGAAGCCTTAGAATGCTGTGAGCCAAACTTAATGGGAGATTCTGTTCAGAGCACAGAGACTGAATGTTGACAACAATATAGCTGGAAAAGACCATACTCAAGATATTTAGGTTAAGAATAAGAACTGCAATGGCAATTGGACTCCAGACCATGTGTTTTGTGCTCTAGCCAAAAGGTTGTCCACATTTTGCTGATGTCCAGAGGCATTGCAGGAGGCTGAGATTAAGGACAGTGGCCTAATTGGTCTGATAGAAGAAATTTCAAAGTAGTTGTCATGGCTTTTGTCTAGCTGTCCCCCCATAGCCTCATGCAGTCATAGGTGGGGCTTTTGGAGATGACTGGATCTGGAGTGTGTGATTCTGGGATAAAGGTTATGTGATTAATAAATTAGTCCATTGATTGTTTTAGTATAGTTCTGGGTAGGATTAAAGGTGTCCCAAACTGGGTGTGACAGCCACCTGCCCTAAGCCCAGTTAGCCTGGCTAAAGTACAAGGGACAGAAAGAGCTGTTTGCCTGTCACTTGATTGCTATCTTCTGCCTGTATGAACACTTTCACCTATGTGATTTTCCTCTTGCCATGCCAACCTGCACTGGAGTCAGCCAACTATGAAATGAAACCTGTACATCTGTGAAGAAAACAAAAAGTTTTAATCAAAGTGGTGGAGGAAAAATCAAGACTAATGACTGGCTGGCCAAATGAAATTCATACTTTAGAAAAACCAGGGCTCAAAAAGGGGAGGTTTTATGTCATATTTTTAAGATGGGAGCGGGCTAGGGGTCAGCAAAGCAGAATTTTATAGGGGCAGAAATTTTTAGCAGATAAGCAGGTGTCACAATTGATCTGTGGTTAGGTGCTTTTTTTAGAACCAGATTGTTCACATAGCATAACAGGATGTTTAGTGCTAACATGACAGGATGCATATTATGACTATAAGGATAACAGGATATATATAACAGGACTTTTAGGGCTAACAGAAAGAACATATATTGTGAACACCAAAGCTATACATTGTGAATATATATATATACACACACAGACATTGTGAATGACAAAGGATATACATTGTGAATGATAACGCTAACTATATATATATCATATATATATATA